GAGGAGCTGTTTGAATGAACTACATTTTTTACATCCATCCTGCTCATTTGGGGCATGTCTAAGAGAAGGCTGAAAGTTGTGAGTATATTATATGCCATACAAGGATTAACTTCATCATGGATGGGACTGTGAAGGCTGACCTGTAACACTCAGCACTGACAGCATCCTCAGATGATAATTCTTGGTGACAAAATAATACAGCTGGGCTGTTTTTTTAAGATATAAACCCAAAACCATTTCTAATTATTACATTAAAAATTGTAAATATATCTATGTGCCATGGCCTGGGAAGCCTGTTTTCTTTTTTCACAAATATTATTTTTACTCTGTGAAAAGATAGGGGTTTAGCTCAAAGTATCTGTGGTACTGATAAAATTGGATTGGTAACACTACCTCAGACGAAAAACAGGAAAAAAACAGATGAGTCACAATTCAATATGTCAGGCTCTGATACTACAGAAATTGTGCAGATCACTGAATTTTTTAGATTTATAAAGTCAGAGTTGGCATGCCTTGTTTTTAACAGTATGGAAGACCATAAGAAAAAAACTGGGCTGAAGTTTAATCATTGTTCCAGCCATTTGAAAAAGGCAGTAGTTCAAAGAGGTTCCCAAATTCGGCATTTGAAATTCATTTTCTCTCTCTCTTCTTCATTAGTAGTGAATTTGGTGTGTATATACTTGCACACGATTCTGTTTGTATACACGCTGCTTGCTTAGCCCTAGTCAAGAGGATCTTCTATAAAAGGTGTAAAGAAATACCAAGGTTCTAAAATTCAGAAGAGTTTAGACTTTATTAGGAGTCTCCCAAGTTAGGACATTGGTCTTTAAATAAATTTATTTCATTCACGTATTCCACTTACGATTTTGCACCTCCTTTTCATGGGGGCAGCACTGGCTTGATTCCAGGTATGTTAATACTCCAGCCCTGGTAGTTGGCATCAAGTGACAGGTGTGAGCCATAGGGAGATTTTCTGACTTAGTTTTTACACAACTACATATTAGAGTTTTAGTGGAGAAAAAAGTAAAAGTAGTCATTGTGCATATATAGTAGTTAGGTAAATGATTTTTGCTACCAACAGTATACTGCATTCCTCATGTAGGTAAGTACAGAAAAGGGTTTCAAATGTATTTTGTTAGCCAATTAAAGTCTATGGATCTATCTGCAACCTTATTTAATCTGTCACTACAATAATTCTGTGGTTATGCTAAGAACCGTGTATATTTTAGGTATGATTCTTGTCAACTTTTCCAGGTTAGCAAGGAGGCAGAAAACCTTCATTGTTTCATATTAAAATATAATTAGACCAAACTTAATTCTAGTATGAATTTCCAAAATCGTGATCTATTTCATTTTTATCTTGTTTTTGTTTCATTTTTAAAAGTCCCTTGTTCGATTTAGTTTATGTTCCTAAGAGTGGCTGGAGAACTCGGCCTTCATCTGATTTCGAACATGTTTTTGGCTCTGGAACCCGAGTTTCAAATGAAGTTAATGGTTTCAGTGTGGTTCAGTCCTCAGACCAAACTGGGCTGAGTAAAATCTAAAAGAATATACCCTCTTGGAACATAACGTTTTAATACTGTGGGGAATGTGGCACTGCCAGAAGAAGTCAGCTAACGTCAGATGTTCACTTGGAAGCTTTAACAATCCAAGCTACCCTTTTCCGCCCCACTGATTGTAACAAGTTTATTTCTCTATATTTTGTCATTCAGTGAATTGAAGTCCTGTGGTATACTGCATTCATTACAGGAAAAATGTTTTTAATGTCCTTTTAATGATGGCCCAAAAAGCATTTGACACAGCAAGATGCATGTGTTATTATATTGAGAATATAGAATAATAACAGTATCACTACATTTGAGACCTCTTCCCAGTCTTGCTGTTCCTAGCAAGACGTTTGGCCTGTGGCTGCACTTACTGTCTGTGCTCATCAGAAACTCTCAATGTCTGCTTTTCTTTCACTCTGCAGTCTGTAACATCACGCTGTTTATTAAAAAAAAAAAAAAAATTACTTTGACTTGTGTGCAAACAATCCTTAATGTACTAGATAAGCAAAAAATGGTGATAATTCTCTTTTGCCATTCCTTTTGAAAAGTAAGTCAGTGTTGCTAATAATCAAAATTTAGCTGAATTTGAGTTCTTTTCAGTAATGAGTAAGAACACTTGATTGAAAATCTGAAGCTATTCTACCTTAAAAGCCAACTTTTCTGCCCTGGTAAAGTGATGAATATTAGAGAAATGTATGTTTAAATATTTACTTCCTTTAAGCATAAAGAATTAAATGCTTGTATTTTAAGCAGAAATATATGTATATACATATATGTATGAATGTATGTGTGTATATGTGATAGGTAAGTGGACTTTTTTCCAAGTCATTGGAAGATCAGAACCTAGAAGTGAAAGTTAAGCTAGAAGGAAACTGGTTTTGCTTTCAGTTATCATAAACATTGCAAAAGGTAAGGGTGGGCTTTTCTTTGACCAATAATACACATAAACATTAACAACTTAGTATTTCTGAGCAATAAAACAAATGATTACGTAAGTTTTATTTATTTGCCAAATGGTTTAAATAACTTTGAATTGACTTTGTTCTCCAGGGATACCTCTCTTTGCTGAAATGAATCAGGTAGCTCCTATCTAAAAGGAAAACTGTGGTAACTGAAACAGACGCTTTACATCTTAAATCAGCAATTTTGAATTTGTTAGGAAAAAAAATCCCAATAATTACATATTGTTAGGCAGAAGTCAAATCTACAAAGAAATGGAATAGAGACGCACCCTTTAAGGAAACAATAGAATCTTGATTGAAATGTGCATGCATATAAAGTTCATGTATACATAGATATTTTATTACAGAGAAGTCTCTGGTATACAAAATAGTTTACCACAATCTTTGATATGCCTTAAATGCATATCACATTTAACCAAGAGAATTGGGGTGGGGGCAGGGAAAATGAACTGCAGCTCCCTGTCCTAGCAGCCTCTGTACCAGCTGTCGGTGAAAGTGCCAGGGCTCACTGAATGTCACCACTTAGCAGATTTTTAAATAAATGATCTAGGCCCGGCGCGGTGGCTCAAGCCTGTAATCCCAGCACTTTGGGAGGCCGAGGCGGGTAGATCACGAGGTCAAGAGATCGAGACCATCCTGGTCAACACGGTGAAACCCCGTCTCTACTAAAAATACAAAAAATTAGCTGGGCATGGTGGTGCGTGCCTGTAATCCCAGCGACTCAGGAGGCTGGGACAGGAGAATTGCCTGAACCCAGGAGGCGGAGGTTGCGGTGAGCCGAGATCGCGCCATTGCACTCCAGCCTGGGTAACAAGAGCGAAACTCCGTCTCAAAAAAAAAAAATTAATAAATAAATAAAAATAAATGATCTAACATTTTTGAGCACCTCTACTAGATGCTGGAAGCTAAGCTAAAGTATTTCACCTACGCTACTTCATTTATTCTGTAAAATAACTGCATGAAATAACAAGTTATCCCCATTTTATAGATGAGAAAAGAGAGGTTTCAACAGGTTAGCTGATATGACCACAGACACATATTTTAAAAGTTGTGATTACGGCCTACAAAGGCAAATCCTACTCTGAGACACATGTTCTTTCCACCATTGTACATTAGAAAGAGAGGAAAACACCAAGATTATTCATTACTGATCAAGTCAGTATTACTCTATTCAGCAGATTTAGTAATTTGTGTCTTGAAATTAGTTGCTAAAAGGCATTAAAGTTAGAGTTTTTTTGTTTGATTATATCTACATATAAAAGTTGCTTCAAATGTCGTTCTTTTTACTGTCCATAATTTAAGATTATTTAGCAAAATAAAATTTTAAAGATACTTAGAGGCACTTTGGAAAATCAGGCCAAACTCTTTTCAACTCATAGATTCAGCTTAATCAATCTAGAAAGCATTTATTCAGAGTCTTATGACATCATTATTTAATAACCACGGTTGATTCATTAAAGTACAGATGATTATTCACTATCCATGTGGGACTTTTCTGTTAGGTTGATGCAAAAGTAATTGTGGTTTTTTGTCATTAAAAGTAACAGCAAAAACAGAATTACTTTTGCACCAACCTAATGCCATGTGGATCATCTGAGATGAATGTTGAAATCCAGTATAGTTTCCTCACATTCTGGCCCATTTTTCCCACCATCAGAAAGTACACAGAGTGAAATGAGCTTATGAAAAGCATAGTTTACTAGAAAAATGTTACTGAAAAAAATTACAAGGTACATGACAAGGCTAAATGCTAGTAACTCTAAACTTGGTGAATTTTCTAGGCAGCAGCTTTCCTCTGCTGTCTACTCTGGCAAAGAACAAACTAAGGCCGGGCATAGCGGCTCATGCCTGTAATCCCAGCACTTTGGGAGGATGAGGTGGGCAGATCACCTGAGGTCAGGAGTTCAAGACCAGCCTGACCAAAACGGCAAAATTCCATCTCTACTAAAAATAGAAAAGTAGTCGGGTGTGGTGGCACATGTCTGTAATCCCAGCTACTCAGGAGGTTGAGGCAGGAGAATCGTTTGAACCCGGGAGACAGAGGTTGCAGTTAGCCAAGATTGCGCCACTGCACTCCAGCCTGGGCAACAAGAGCAAAACTCCATCTCAAGAACAAAAACAAAAGAACACACTATAATAAATATGTTAGGTCTATGTTTTCTTAAGTTTTCTACCAGGTTTTTATCTTCCTATAGTGAACAAACCGTTAATTAAGAACTTTTTTCTGAGAAATGTTTTAGTGTGACTATATTGCACAGAGTTGGCTGATGGTTCAGTGTTCGGTAGGTTAGATACCCTAATTGTTTATTTCTAGTGACTAGTTCTAGCTAGAGCTGAAGTTAGGTAAAGAATATCTTGAACTCATTTTGCTATACAAGAAAAAGTGTTTCTTTACTCATTTGGAAATAAATTTTGATTAGAAAAGATAGTTAATTTGTATGTATTTATACAAATAAATAGAATACAAAATGAGGCTTGTAAATTTTTTTTCCCCACATGAAAATATGAATCTTAACTTTAATTATTACCTTTTACATTGTTAGTTTGCAGGCAAGCGTAATTAGGGACTCAGCTGCAGAAATCACGAACATCTGAAGGCCAGCACTTTAATTTGGCCACTGTCTGAAGATTTCTCTGCTCCTCCTCACACTTCAGTCTGAACTGATGCTGTTCTGCATAAGGTACTTTTCCACCTACCTCACCTCTTACTGCATTGCTATATTTTTCACACAGTGAGGACAGGTGTTGTGTTAATCTCACCATGCCAACAATCAGGGCACCAGCTAGCAGGGTCAGCGAAGGCCACAAGAAGCAGTGGAAGATGGCCATTTGGTCATACTGTTTTATAAGAATGACATCTTCGGCTTGGCTGCCCAGACTGTAGAAGCATGAAAAGGCGGTTCCATTCTTGTGATCGAAGAATGCCTTTATGTCCAGAGCACTGCTGAGCAAATCATTTCTATCTTGATGGCACTTAGGTGTGTAAAAGCACTAGGAACATGGAGGAGGAAAAAAGAGAAAGACACATTTCAGAATTGCTTGAACCCTGGAGGTGGAGGTTGCAGTGAGCCGAGATAGCACCACTGCACTCAGCCTGGGTGACAGTATCACCAATACCAAATACTTAACAGTTTTGATTCTGAGATGCCTTCAGGCTGAAGTGATTAGTGGGGAGTTTCAATGTTTGAAGGTGGTGAAATATTACACAGCTCATGGGAAAGGGTTGACTGGAGGGCTGGAGTGAAACAGTCATTTCCACTCACTAAGTAAGGATGTGGAGGGAATTCGTAGTTTATATGACATTGCATTTGAACCATCTTATTTGAACCATCTTGTTCACTGGGAAAGAAAAACAAAGACACTGCAGGAGAGGAAGTGACCAACTTCGTAAGGAAGATGACTCCTCCCACATGCAGGTTCTTGGTCTCTTGGACAATATGAATCCGTTTGTCCATTCAACAAAAATGTGTTGAGCCCTACATGAGCTTTCAACACCTGGTAATGCCTCTGTTGTCTGTCTTGACCTCCTGCAGCAAAGTACTGTATTTCCCTAAAGAAAAGCACATTGGGGTTTTTGCTCTGGGCTCAGAGAGGGAGCGCCACCTGGCCTTCCACTTCCTGGGGGGCAGAACCAGTGGAGAAGGGAGCTCTGTCAGCTGGTGACATTTTTTCAAAAAACTTGAGGTTTATTACCATATCCAGTAAGTACTTGAGGTACTGGGCTAAAGGCCTACAAAATGTTTGAAACCTTAAAAATCACTGCATCCAAAATAGAAAACAAAAGTCATCAGATTGAAATTGATGCTTAAAGACAACGAAGTGTGCTGTGTGTGGTGGCTCATGCCTGTAATCCCAACACTTTGGGGGGCCAAGGTGGGTGGATCAGCAGGTCAGGAGTTTGAGACCAGCCTGGCCAACATGATGAAACCTTGTTTCTACTAAAAATACAGAAAATTAGCTGGGTGTAGCGCAGGCACCTGTAATCCCAGCTACTAAGGAGGCTGAGGCAGGAGAATCACTTGAACCCGGGAGGCAGAGGTTGCAGTGAGCCAAGATCGCGCCACTGCACTCCAGCCTGGGTGACAGTGAGATTCCATCTCAAGAAAGAAAAAAAAGACAACAAAGTATAACATATCAAATAACCTAACACAACTCAACTTTTATAGTTAGGTATAAATATAAACTTTAAATATGAATCCGTTGTGTAACTTATTAAAATAAAAACGATAATCTTTATTTGATAAGAAAAATCACTCGCTTGATTCAAGGTAAACTGTGAGTACACTGTAGCATTTTTATATGATGGGAGGCGGGATCTCCAAAAGACAGACTACCCGCAAATGACGACTCACTGGCTTAGGCTATAAATTCCAGACACCAAGCTGTGAAATTGGAATAATTTCTTTCATTTCTGTACACCCCATTTCTCCACCAAGAAGAAAGCTTCATTTATCCTGATTGGATCATTACAAAATGTTCACTACAAAATAAACAGATTTATCCCTAAAGACAGCCCTGGGTTATTTATATACCCAGCTGCGGACAGTCTGGCAGGGAAGGGTTGTTGTCATAAGAACTCCTGGCTGGGCACGAGGGCTCACACCTGTAATCCCAGCACTTTGGGGGGCCAAGGCAGGTGAATCACCAGGTCAGGAGTTTGAGACCAGCCTGGCCAGCATGGTGAAACCCGGTCTCTACTAAAAAAAAATACAAAAATTAGCTGGGTGTGGTGGTGCATGCCTGTAGTCCCAGGTACTTGGGAGGCTGAGACAGGAGAATCGCTTGAACCCGGGAGGCAGAGGTTGCAGTGAGCTAAGATTGCGCCACTGCACTCCAAGCCTAGGTGACAGAGCGAGACTCCATTTCAAAATAAAATATATAAGAACTTTTTAATTATATGAACTTTACAATACCTTGGGATTTATCTGGACAGCCTCATATAACGTAGGAGAACTTTCTGCCCTGAATGGGTGAGGTTCACAAACACATGAAGGCACGGGTGCCCCTGACCACGGCAGCGCACACCGCAGGTGAAGGCACAGTCCAGCCAGTCGTCCGTGACAGCTGTGTGGATGGCAGTGCAGGTCGATTCTTCTCTCTGAGTGCTTGAATTTGGAAAAAAAAAATGTTCTTCACTTACTAGAAAATTTCGTTCTACATTTCAGTGTGGTAGCACAAGGCATTTGTGTATTTGGAGGTAGCGCAGGGTCCTTACGGCAGGCACATACTAATCAGGGAGCATGGAAGACACAGAGTCGGGGTAAAGAGCCCCAGCGTGCCAAGTTCCACCTCACTTCTGATCCTACTGGCATATTTCTCACTATACCAATGGCTTTCAAACTTCAGAATCACCTGTGAGTTTGTTAGAATGAAGAATCTTTTAAACTGTGGATTCCAGGGCTTCGCTCCAGAGATTCTGGTTCAGTAAGTCTGACGTGAGGCTCAGGAATCTTTAATTGTATTTAAGATGCAGGTATATGGAGAACCACAGTGTAAACAATGTTAGCATTACCATAACACTGTAACCACCAAGATTCACACTCAGGAAGCTCATGCTTCATCCTCTCTAGATGTACTGGCTCCTCCTGACGTGCCTTTGGAAGGAGTCCAACTACAGGGCCCTTGGTCAACGTAGCCTACACAATTTCTGGCAGCAACGTACAATTCCACGTACCCACTCTACTTCTAAGGAGGCAAGTGCAAATCATACATGTAATCTCTCTGTAGAATACTTACCATATTTTTGCGATCAGTAAGTTCCTTGAGGTCAGGAGCTACATCCAATTCATCTGTGTGTTCCTCAAAGCATGAAACAGAATGCCTCTCTCTAAGTAGATGTTCAATAAGCGCTGTACTGAATTAAATTTTCCTTGGAAAAAATTTCTTGAGAATTTTCACATGTACTACATATGTAAAGTGTCCTAGGTGCTATGAGAAATGACAGGCAGAATTCCTATCACAAAGACCTTGTGGTGATGTTGAAGAGAAAGTATGTGTATATGTATGAAATGATTTGAAAACAAGTGCAAGAAAAAGTAAACAAGGGGAAGAGGAAATGCTTTGACTGAATGTACGGGACCAGCTCTGCATATACCCTCACACTCACATGTAGGTGGCCCCCTATGTTTACGTACTGGTTCCTTAAACATAAGTTAGATTAGCAAGCTCTAAAGTCAGAATGTTTCAAAAGCAGGGCCGGGCACAATGGCTCATGCCTATAATCTCAGCACTTTGGGAGGCTGAGGCGGGCAGATCACTTGAGGCCAGGAGTTTGAGACCAGCCTGGCCAACATGGTGAAACCCCATCTTCACTGAAAATACAAAAATTAGCTGGGTGTGGTGGCACACACCTGTAATCCCAGCTACTCAGGAGGCTGAGGCAGGAGAATTGCTTAAACCCGGGAGGTGGAGGTTGCACTGAGCCGAGATCACTGAGCACCACTGCACTCCAGCCTGGGCAGCAGAGCCAGACTCTGTCTCAAAAAAAAATAATAAGATTTGAAAAGCAATATTTAGCTACATTCCTACTTCACTCTCATTAATCTTTTTGACCAAAATAATCATTTTCCCTTATTAATATAACATGCAGTTTAACATGTCCTCAAGGTCCAGGGTATCAAAATCACTAGATGTGGCCTAAGAAAAAATATTGGGCAAGTGAAAATGCAAAAATGGAAAATAAGATCCTTTCCTAGATTTAGCACTGGCCTGCTTTTTCACTAAATTAATTTATATACTTATTTTAACTAGGCATCTTGAAATAATAACGTAGAGTTACCTTTTTATCTGTTAGAACTTAAGCTCTCTAAATCTTGACCAGGTACTGAACCAAGTATGATTTGAATTTTCCTTGAAGATTTTAGAAAGCTCCAAAACAGAGTGGGACATTCTGTCCTATGTACAAGGCCCCGTCCGAGCCTTTCAGGTGGAACCAGGGATGTATTTAGGGCTAAAAAATGAGCATGTTTCTTCAGTAGCATTGGGTGTGTATTTGACTACAGCTGTGACAAAATCCATTACTTGATTGAGAGATGATGAGAGGTTGAGGGAGTGGGGATAGGTATGAGCTACCCAGGACTTCTTTTTTTTTTTTTTTTTTTTTTTTTTGAGACAGAGTTTCGCTCTTGTTACCCAGGCTGGAGTGCAATGGCGCGATCTCGGCTCACCGCAACCTCCGCCTCCTGGGTTCAGGCAATTCTCCTGCCTCAGCCTCCTGAGTAGCTGGGATTACAGGCACGCGCCACCATGCCCAGCTAATTTTTTGTAGTTTTAGTAGAGACAGGGTTTCACCATGTTGACCAGGATGGTCTCGATCTCTTGACCTTGTGATCCACCCGCCTCGGCCTCCCAAAGTGCTAGGATTACAGGCTTGAGCCACCGCGCCCGGCCTACTCAGGACTTCTTAACTGCCACCCTTTATGGAGTAAAAGTACTCTATGAGATGGTACAAGATGTAAGGCAAGAGAGATGAGAACTCACCACTCTTAGGCATTCACTTAGTTTAACCAAGCAATTACCAGGAATGCTTAGAAAAGTAAAACTTAAGATATGAGCAACGATTTGGTACCAGCTTGCAGAAGGTACCCTCAAGCCATCTCCCAAATATATCACATTTTTAAAAAAATCTGATCTGCCTGTGCATACATGTCACTCAACTTATATAGACATGTAATGCAGATATATATATAATATATATGATGAGGGGAAAGGAATAACAGCAAAAGAGGAAAGAAAGAATGAATGAAGTCAGAAGTGAGGTACAGCCAAGACAGGAGAATCACTTGAGCCCAGGAGTTTGAGACTAGCCTGGACAACATAGTGAGATCCCATCTCTAAAAAAAAGTTTTTAAAAAAGTGAGGTACAAACATGTAACCTGCAGACCATAAGATCCCTTACAGTTATGACAACTGACCTACGTATTTGTCTCTGAGCTTCCTAGCAGGCAAAGCAATGAAGGAAATATAACCAGATATAAGATTCCTGGTGTGCATTAAATAAAAGTAAGCTGGTTGATCAGGAGCAGCACAGCATCTCCTGGTGCTAATGCCAGAGAGAAGGTTCTTCTAGAATTCTTCCAATAGTGGCACTGTATGCTATAGTAAATGGTGATCTCTTCACCTTTCCCCTAACAATGGTAAACTAAGAATGGCAGGAGATGAATTACAAATAACAGAAGTAGGCCACTCTCTTCCTTTCCTATGACCCCTTTCTCTCACTGAACTCCTAGTCCTTCCTCTTCCATTCCCCTGCGGCCTTCTGTTGCTCTTTGGCTGTCCAAAAAAGGGGGCTGTCCAAAAAGCACCCCTTCCCTTCCTTTCGCCCTGATCTGACCTGGCCCCAAAGTACCCCATGTTGTGTGGACCATCCTCCAAAATTAAATAGCTCCTCCCCTTCCCTAATCAAAACCCCCATGCCCCTCATGTCAGCAAGCTTCATTTAGGCAATAAGAAGCAAGAAGTCTTATGTCAGAATGACAGGCACATTCTTTACTGGCGTGTGAACTTGGGCAAGTTACTTGGCCTTTCTGAGCCTCAGCTTTCTCATTTATGAAATGAAAGTTAAAATAATGACACTTCCACCATGGGCTGTTGTCAGTTTAAGTAGGATAAAATAGAGTATGTATTGGGCACATAGCATACAGTTAGTAGCAAATGAAGTTGACCCTTGAACAATTCAGGGGTTAGGGATGCCAACGCCACACCCCCAACCCCGCAGTCGAAAATCTGCATATAACCTTTGACTCCTCAAAACTTAACTATGGGGCAGCCACGATGGCCCATGCCTGTAATTCCAGCATTTTGGAAGGCCAAGGTGGAAGGATGGCTTGAGCCTAGGCATTCACACCAGCCTGGGCAACACAGGGGGACACCTTCTCTACAAATAATTCAAAACGTAGCCAACTGTGGCGGCACACACCTGTGGTCCCAGCTACTCAGGAGGCTGAGGCAGGAGGATCGCCTGAGCCCAGGAGGTTGAGGCTGCAGTGAGCCATGATTGCACTACTGCACTTCAGCCTGGGTGACAGAGTGAGACCCCGCCTCAAAAAACAAAACAAAAAAAACTTAACTACTAATAGCCTACTGTTGACTGGAAGCCTTACCAGTAAACAGTTGATTAAGACATATTTTGTAGCTGGGCGTAGTGGCTCACGCCTGTAATCCTAGCACTTTGGGAGGCTGAGGTGGGTGGATCACCTGAGGTCAGGAGTTCAAGACCAGCCTGCCCATCATGGTGAAACCCCATCTTTAAAA